CATCATCTACACGCTCACCAACCGCGACCTGCGCCACGCGCTCCTGCGCCTCCTCTACTGTGGCTGCCACCTCTGTGGCCAAGGCTCTACTGGCTTCCAGCGGACTGGGAGGTCAGTGGGGCTTCTGGTGGCCTGAGCTGCTGCCTGATACTGCCTGATACTCAGGGGCAGGTCTCACAGCTCATTGCCTCATCAGGAGGAGCTGGACACCAGTCCACGCGTACCCAAGATTGCTCATACCCTAGTACCCCAACCAGTCTCAGACTGATGCTTCCCCCGGCATTGTCTTCCCCAAGAGGTGTTTTGCAGACATTTTCTTTTTATATCAAGAGATTTGTAGGAAATGCAGCTGAAGATGGTGGAGGCAGAAAAGACACAGAGGGAACATACCATGTCTATGTGGTAAACCCTTCAACAGTGAACATACACTCCTGAATCCTTGCTTTCGTAGAATTGACATTCTAGTGGGGAATACAGACTATAACGGAGTGATAAAATAATGGAGATCATTCTGGTGACAATGTCGAGATGTCGATAGAACTCAGAGAAGGCCTCTCTGCAAAGGTGGCAACATGTGATGTGAGTGGCGCCTTCCATGTCCTGGTGATACAGGGCAGGTGGCGCCCCAGCCAGCTCAGAAGAGCTGGGCTGGAGGACCCGGCGCCTCCATCTTGGCGGTGTTGGTGGAAAGGCAGCCTGAAGAGGAACCAGCGGGCTGGAGCATAGGCAAGGGGGCGGGGGAGCCTCCCTGCCTCACCGGAGGCTCCAGTAGCCAAAGAGACCAGACAACTGCTGGAGAGAAAGCGGTACCTTGGTGTCTCCTTCCCTTTACACTTATGACTAAATAAAGAACCCCCATTTCCTATGCCTAAGTCAGTTTCATGTAAGTTTCCTAGGCTCAGTTCTGTGAATGGACTGTATCCATTCATCAGTACATTCATTCACCTTGCCCCAGTGGAAGGAACTATGTCCATTCATTAGTACAGTCATTCACCTTGCCCCAGTGGAAGAGACTGTGTCCGTTCATTTCCTGGCCTCATATAGAAGGAACCCATGCACCTATATCTACCGCTAAACAAAGAGACACCGAGAGAGCTTTTCTCTACTGACTTGGGTTTTTTCTCTCCCTACCAGAAACTTCAGTGTTTTTGTATTTTTTCTGTAAATAAATTGTCTTGCCACTGATCTGTGGTCCACGGATTTATTCTTCAAATCACCAAGACCAAGAACCTGAAAGTCGGGTATCACTGGGAACACCTAAAGGAAGAGCATTTCAGGATGGGGAAATGGCAAGTGCAAAGACCCTGAGGCTTGGTGTGTCTGTCTGTTCTGTGAAAAGCAAGAATCCCAGTGTGGCTGTAGCAGCTATAGGAGTGGGAGATAGCAAAAGAAGGAAGCTGAAGAGGCAGATATTTCAGGGCCTGTGGGCTATGGAGAGGTCTTTGGTTTAGCTCTGTGAGGTAGGAGGCATGGAGGGTTCTAAGCAGAGGAACAACTTGCTTAATTTAGGTGTTCACAGATGCCCTGTGAGGACAAGGGTGGAAGCCAGAAGCAGGTAAAGGGGACTGCAACTGCAGCAATGATCATGTTGCTGATGGCTCACACTAGATGTGTGCTCTGAATAGATTGTAGAGGCAAAGGACAGAATTGCCAAGGAATTGGGTGTAACTGTGAGAGAAAGTTGTCGAGGCAAACAGTGATGGGAGGACACCTCCAAATTTGACTCTAGGAGACTCAGCCAAATCTTATCCAATAATAAAATTTCTTTGAGTGCCAAGTCAGAGCCTTCATAAAAATTGAAAATATAATAACAAACAATGATTAAAAAAAAACTTTATGCCTTCTGAAATGTCCTAGAAAATTAACTATAGGTGGTCATGAAAGTGTTGGCTTTGAATGCATGTTGGGGTGAGGAAAGAAATTATCAATGGTTGTTGGCAATGAAAATGCATTTCATAGCCTGAGGAAGCTTAGTCAAAATTTTATCAAAACTGATAAAAGAGGGCGGTGCCTGTGGTCAAAGGGGTGGGGAGCCAGTCCCATGTGCCGGAGGTGGAGGGTTCAAACCCAGCCCTGGCCAAAAATTGCAAAAACAAACAAACAAACAAAAATAAACAAAGGCTTGACATAAATTTGAAGTGAATGCCCTTGTCCAATATTTCTAGTATTCAGAGGAATATTGGAAGTAGGAAGAAGAGACTACATGATTTTTACCAATCTGAAGTTATTTTTCATAGAGGATGGTGTGCTATGATTCTTATCCAAAAATAGAGTAGAATCTTTACTATTTCGATTATCCATTCCCAGAGTAATGAGTGAATGCTGGATTCACAGGTAGAATCACATTGTTAATGTGATTAAAACAAGCAAAAGCTGATAACCAAAGTGAACAAGTATAATGTAAAAGTCTAAATAAATAAAATGTTCAGAACATAGTTTATACTTTGTTTATAAAATTTTTAAACTAGAATAGATAGAAGATATTATTATTGTCACTGGAGTAGAGTGGTGTGGCATCATAGCTCACAGCTACCTCTAACTCTTTGTCTTGAGCAGTCCTCTTGCGTCAGCCTCCCGAGTAGCTGGAACTGAACTACAGGTGTGTGCCACTATGCCTGGCTAGTTTTTTCACTTTTAGGAGGGATGGGAGCTCACTCTTACTCAGGTAGCTCTCTTACTCCTGAGCTCATGCAGTCCACCTGCCTTGCCCTCCCAGAGCTCTACGGTTACCAGTATGAGCCATCATGACTGGCCATTGAAGATATTTTTAAATTAGATAATTAGGATTAGAAGGGTGGAATTATACTAAAGATGAAGTAAGTATTCATACTTTCTGAAATTCACAAGTTTAGTATTATCCAGTTCTTTAAGTCACACTATTGTATTTTTATTTTAATAAAAACTTTATCAATTACATCTTGATGCTTTGATAAAACTGATTAACACATAGAACTGTGTATTCTTTAGTTCTTCTACTGGCTTAGAAAGAAAATGAATTGTTATTGACATGAATGGAAGAATGAACTAATGGCAATGTCAGCTCAATGATATCACTGATAATGTCTTTTTTAAATTTCAAATTACTATAAGCGCCAAACAACTAGGTTACAATGTTTGTATTTGTTAGGTAGAGTCCCTCTTGTAGTTGTGTCCTGAACCCGAGAGATGTCCCATATATGCTTACATTGTGCCCATTAAGTAGGACACCAGTGTTCCTCTTTCATTCCCTTTCTTGCCTCTATCATTCTTCCTTCTCTCAACATGAATTGTGTACAGTTTTTCTCGTATGTGGGTGTGTATCAGATCATCTACTGGTTATATATTAGTATTGAGAACATTGGATAATTGCTTTTCATTTCTTGTAATACTTTGCTAAGAAGAAAGTGTTCCAACTCCATCCAGGTTAATACAAAAGATGTAAAGTCTCTATGTTCTTTTATGGCTTAATAGTATACTATTGTATATATGTACCACGGTTTTTTAACCCATTCCTGAGTGGAGGGGCATTTAGCTTGTTTCCACATTTTGGCAGTTGTAAATTGAGCTGTGATAAATAATATAGTCTAAATGTCCTTATCATAAAATGATTTTTTTTCTTCTGGATAGATGCCTAGTAATGGTGTTACTGGAATTTCTTTCTTCAGTAGGTCCTTGGTCTCAGTAATTTGAAGAATGAATGACAGACCACAGATCAGTGGTAAGATAGGATTTATTATATAGAAAAGAATACAGAAAAAGCACCAAAGCTTTTGGCAGAGAAAATACTCTGGTCAGAAAATCTCTGCATGAGTCCTTTGTCTAGGGGAATATATAGCCTGGAGAGTTACATTTGGCCAGGACTTTAGAGATGAAAACACACTTTTTCAAAGGGAATGGGCATACTTATTAATGGATATCGTCTCTTGGTGAAATTGCTCTGGCCTAACAAATGGGGGAACCCTGTTCAGACCTCAATGAAGGAACGCTGTGTCATGGTCATTTTCAGCATTAGAAGTTGTGTGTGCTGCCGAGGGCAGCTTCACATTAGTAGGTACTGTTTTCTGAAATAAGGGGAAAGAAAAAGTGGCTCTGTCAGCATTGGGAGCTGTCTGTGGCCTCCCTCAACTTCCTTTGGACTTAGGCCATGGTGGCTCCACTCCACAGCACTTGGCTCTCCAGCCCTGGCCTGCCGCAACACCCTTCGGGGCATAGGATGCAGAAGGTGTGGTGGGTCCTCTGCAGGCCCTCCTGGGAGGTCTGGCATAGCCCAAGCTGGGACACCACAAACCCTGTATCAATGGGATTGCAGGATTAAATGGAGATAATTAATCTCTTCCTCCAAATTTATAGTGGTACTTTGTTTCAGAAAACATACATTCAGGCAAAATGTTTTTAGTAAGTTAAGTGAGCATTAGTACAGTCATTTGCATTGCTTGTGAACAGAATTATCTCTGGTGAACTACTAATTTTATTTAAATGAATAAAATTTAAGTTATAGTAACTTTATCAAGAAAATAAGTTATTATCATTCAGCAGTCTCTGTTTATATATTAATTGGCATTAATCATGAAGAATTAAATCATTAAGAGAATTAATATTATTTCAATTTTGGTCCTTCCACCGGAGATAGGTGTAGACAGCAGAGAATTTTGCTGAAACCTATGTATTCCCTGAAATAAAATTAATACAAAGATAGGTAATGGCAGTTGCCTAAATCCTGATCTCCTAAAATAGTCTTAAACTCTATATCATGCAATAACATGCAAAAACTAAAAACACACAGATTCATTACCTTTAGCAGGTTTAGGGGTCAGAGGATAGACAGATAATGACCAGTTTCTAGTGGAATTAAACATAAATCTCATCACAAACCTTTCACAGAGCTCTAGGGATTTCACATAAGCAGACAAGCTAGAAAGAGGAAGGCTACACTAACAGGAGAAATTCCAAAAGGATTCCCAGTGGGTTAGTTTTCTGAGTAGAGGGAAAAGACGTTAAAGTTTTTTCTTAACTCTACATGTCAATCTTATAAACAACATTTCTGGGGGAGAAAAGGGTAAAAAGCAAAGAAGCATATTTGAAACCTGCTCATTAAAAGGCAAAACAAGGCCAGGAGAGGTGGCTCACGCTTGTAATCCCAGAATTTTGGGAGGCCGAGGCAAGTGGATTGCCAGAGCTCAGGAGTTTGAGACCAGCCTGAGCAAGATCAAGACTCCATCTCTAAAAATGGGCATTGTGGTCCATCCTTGTAGTCCCAGCTACTCAGAAGCTGAGGCAAGAGGATCACTTGGGTCCAAGAGTTTTAGGTTGCTGTGAGCTATGATGCCCTTCTACCAAGGGCAACAAAATGAGACTGTCTCTAAATAAATAAATTAAGAAAGAAAGAAAGAAAGAAATAAACTAATGTGTATATGTGTAAGTGACAGGGTGTTAGGATAATTTTGGACAAAATTACATTTAACACACACACAACCTGTTTTCTCTTCTCTCTGAAAAACCACTCATATAAGAAAGTGCACTGCATTGTCTTGAAGGAAGAGGAAACTCTTGATACACGAATCCAACAAAGTGCTCCAGCTATCATCACATCCACAGAAAGC